GGAGAATTGTTGAGGCTGGTGTGGAGCCTCTTCTCGTGAGAAGAAATCTGATCTAATTGAATATGTAGAAATGAAAGAGGTTTTGTGCCCTCAGCATTGCCTGCTGTGGTAGCAGTGTGGGAATGGCAGATGTTAAGGGCAGAGCAGGCTGCGTTGCACAAATCTGGGAAGGTCAGTTTTTCCGGTTCCATACCCAACTTTCATCATGATTGGGTTTCATTTCTGAATGGAAATTGTTTATTTGTTTGTTTGTTTTTTAAAAGAACAACAGTATGACAGTCCCTTCACCCTCCCTCCTAGTACAGCCTGTGTAGCAGCTAATCCCAGGATAAAGCCCAAGTTAATTCTGTCTCTGGTGTTTATCTGAAGGGCAGGCTGCAGTTTTGGAGCTCTCTGGAGCAGTGACTAACACTGGCATGTCTGATGGCACCGTGCCCTGCACTGGGACTGGCACTGGGACTGGGACTGGGCAATCAGTGACTTGACTGGAAATGCWCTGAGGCCTAAGAGAATCATTTCAGCTCTTCCTCTTGAGGGTTTGCACTCTGTCTGTCTGTTCCAGAGCTCATTGGAAGGAATTGTGTGTGTTTGACATGCCCAGATACTGAACTGCAGATCATTTGYAATCTGCCAAATTGTGACATGCAGAGGAGCAGCACTGCCTGGGATGAAAACAGATCAGGCTTGGACTGCAAATTCAGTGTCAKAATCTGATATGAATTTGGAGTGGTTAAGAAGCACTTCTAGTCATTCTTTGTGCCTGCAAGAATATTTATGTGGCTGAGTAGATGGGAATGGAATGAGGGGGCTGATCTTGGCTACGTTTCCTTGCTTTTGTGGATGTTTTTCCTCCACTTTTTTTTTCTCCACAGGCTTCCCACTGTCTGTTTACTTGGTTAGCTTTAAAGGAGAATAGAAGTGTAAGTCCAGAAATGAAGGCTTGAAGCAGGAATGTGTTTGTGTGTATGTTTAGGAAGGAGCGAGAAGACAGAGGGTGCTACCYCCAGTTAGAAATACCCTAAAAGATTTTAACTTTGCACCAGCTCTCAGTTGTGCTCCACACCCTGGTTATAATTGKAAAATAAAGTGCATATTTGACCTGTGCTTTTTAAATTTCAGCTTCAGATAATCAAGATTGAACTCTTAAGACAAAAAATTTTGATGTTCAAAAGGACGATAGGAATGCAAAATAGTACCTATAACAAAATATACAGATACTGTTTCAATAGTGATCTTTCAAGGATCGGTACAATGTTTGTGAAAAAACCAGGGATGAATTTGAGCTCATAGATTTGAAAGGTTGAAAGGATATGTTATTTTTGTGCTAGCTGATAAAGCAGATGGTGGATGGTATATAAAATGTTAATTAAGGAACAAGTGGGATGGACTGTGGAAATTAAAATGTCAAAAAATGGAGTTGCCTGTTTAAGTAAGGACATGTTAAAATCCACATGTTTTGTGGAGGTTGGTCTGTTAGTGTTGGTACWGCATATCTAAAATCATAATTYGTTCATTATTTGTGCTGCTGCTTTCGTCTTTTATTTTGCTTACTGCTCCTGCTGTGTACTTGTCCTGTGCAAGGACCAGTAAGTTAGAGTATTTGGCTCTTATATAATACTAAAAAAAATTAGTATTAAATCTAAATTTAAATCTAAATTTTTAATCTAAAATTAGATTATTTGGTGTGAAGAAATTTCTCTTGGAACTGTGCATTTCCTTACCTTTTGGTTAGTGAGATTTAAAATATTTGTAGTTACAGGTATCAAAAAGCCCACCAAACTTAAACAGCTGCAGAGCTGTTCACACAGTGCACTTTCATTTATCTCCATTTATGACAGGTAATTTCTTACTCTATTTGCTCRCAAAGGTAGAAAACAGATCTAAATATTATTTCTTAAGGAGAGGCTCATTCAAAATTTCCAGAAAATCATTATTCAAATAAAGAAAAGTAGTAATACGGGCATTTATCTCTCTCAACCAAATCAGTGATTTGTAGAAAATATTTTTAAACCTGTGAACATTCCTTGCTTTTTCTTTTTCTTCCATTCCAGAGGTAAATGATGGGCATTAACCCCCACTGTGGTTGGCTGCATGGCCTAATAAATTGGCTCTTGGTGAGGGAAGGGTCCAGCAAGAGGGATTTTTTCTGAATCTGGCTAACTCCCACACTCAGAGCTGCTCTGGTACTGTGCTGATGGCAATTATAGCTGCAGCACAAAGCAGCAGGGTCAGTTTGCAAACAGAAGAGTTAATTGCCACATTGGACCTTTGAAATAGCAGATTAACAAATTTATTCTGTAAGATAAAAAGGCTATTAATGTGTTCCTGCTGTGGTCATCTGCCTTATTGCCTTTCTGGTTTCCTGAGGCTCTGTAATTAAAGCATTAGTGTGTGGACCATGCGGTGAGGCTGCTGTGGGGAGAGGAGATAGATGACAACGTATTTCATGATCCACTAATATGATTCATCTTGACCTTGCATGGTTTAAAAACCAAACAAAGTCACTGAAAAGCTGTTAGTATTCTTGTGGATATTGGAGACACTGGAAGCAGTCCTCTTTCTCTTTTAATTCAGTTTGTTTCCTTGTTCAGTGGAAAACACAGCGTGCTGAGAAACATAGTACATAAAACCAGTGTTGCCAACTCAGTCTAATTTCTGCATCACCATTTCTTTTCCCARTTTGGCATATAAACTTTTAGGATAAAGCTTGTCTCTACTGTAAGAAGTCTTTTCATTTTTTCAGAAATATCCATTAAAAGTAGCTAGATTTCACGGGTTTTCGTGTCCCTCCRAAGATGATGCTTGGTGCAGTAGACACCTTCAAGTTAGATCAATTATTTCAGTTTGAATTCCTGGTTTCTTAGCTGCCGCATCTTCTTCCAGGTGTTTTATCTCCCATTGTTGCATATCTGATCACAGGTTCAACCCCAGACCAGATCAGATCTCTAATGCTGGCAGCACCCGCCTGGTGCTCTGTGTCCAAATGGAGAGGGTTCAAGTCCAACTGAAGTTTGTTGAGGTCACAATCTTACATCTTCTCACTCAACACTGCTGGATTCATTTGTAGCCAGAGAATTCTGTGAAACCAGTGATTCTGAAAATGGAGGATGTAGGTACAAGCTACAGGATTTCAGGCTGGTACAGAGGCTGAGTGCAGGGCTGTGCTGGATGCAGTGCACAGGGGCAGCATGGGCAGTTCTGGCTCTGGGAGGGCTCCTCTGAYCTGCTCCTGCTGCACTGCAAGGTTTTGGCCAGGCAGCTGCATTCCCAACCTCTGACACAGCTGTTCTTGCACGTTCTACTCCCTTTTCTGATGCACTTCTCAAGATATGCTTTGCAAAAACACGTGTCCTGGAAGGTGATTTTCAAAAYAGTGAGCTGGATGTGGAATTCAGTGTGAAGAGCTGAGCAATGTCTGACTAAGAAAATAAYAATAATAATGATAATGATAAAAATAATAATGATGATAATGATAATAATGGTTCAAAAAAAGAAAATAGGGGTAGAGTGGTATGACTTGCATAAATCACAGAGCCTGAACTTTACTCTTCTCCAATGTGATGGATCAAATTTAAGCTGGGAGTAAGAAAGGGGAACTAATGGTGAGTGTGGTACTTTTCAGACACTAATGTGGAGATTCTGTTTGTACCACTGGTCTGGGTATGAACTTCAGCTCCAGAGCATTAACCCTCCCTTACCTTCAGAGCTTTGATGTTAAACAGAGCTGTGCTGTGTTTGGGCAAAGCCAGGAAAGGGAAGCTAAAGCCATCTATGATTGCTTAGGTTCCAGTTTGTTYTGTGCTCATGCCCGTGTTGCCATCCAAAGCCACAAGCATTTTTTGCAATTTGATACTGTGCTGGTGCATGTAATTCATTAGCTTTGCATGTCTGTCAGCTTTTTAAAATCAGGAATGTCAGCACAAGGTGCATCCAAATGRAACCGAGTCAGCCATGAGAAATAGAGTAGCAACTGTTGCTATTTGCAGCCCAGTGATCTTTTCTCCACACTGKAACTTTGGACAACAGCCCTGCTCAGGGCTACAGCATCTGGTAGAGAAGGGATTTCATTGTAATGGGGATCCTGTAACCACATTTTCAGAGATTTTGGTGAAACAAGACGCTGAGTTCATGTTTGAAATGGTAAGAGGTGTGGGTGTTAAAACTTTTATTTATCACAGAAGGAAAGGGAGAAGCCCCCATCTCCCAGAGTATAACCTACTGACACAAATATGTGAGAAATAAGCATCTTCTTTCTAGGATGTCTGGTGTCAGGGTGTAAATCATCCCCAGGAAGACTGCAGACACTTTTGTTTGGCTTCTTTCCTTGTGGACTTCATTTGCACACATCATAGTTGGAGTCTCRCTCTCAGAGGCAAATTGCTGCTTTAGGTGCAGGAGTGGATGTGTAAATCTAAGRTGTTTTATCTAATTGTGATACCCTCGGGCCTTTTTACAGTCTTTACTTACGCAGATGGTGTTCAGAACAGTTGCTGGAATTTTCCAACACTGTAGTATCAATAAGAAGGAAGCAGTAGAGGTTCACTTCTGCARCAAGGGCTGTGCTTATAAATTGCCYTCCTTGGAATACAGAAACATTTGTRTGCCATTGYAAATACAGCTGGAGTCACTGTGAATTGCTCCCCTACAGACACAGGTATAGGAAACAGTTTTGTTGCTGGGATGGAAAAAATCCCAAAGCTCTAAACCCACCATCTRAAGGTATCTGGAAAAGCTTTTGTTAATTGTGGGGAAAGCACAGAATTTTGTTTAGCAGCAGCATGTTCCTCCTAGGAATATTTTTTTTCTTGTTTGAAGCAAGTCCTACAGAAGTACAGTGTTAGGAAGCTGTGAGTCTGTTACTCCAGTCTTGTTACTCCTATGCTCTGTGGCAACTTTGAGTACTCACATTCCCAGATCGTGGATCAGCCAGCTCATTAATGCTCATTAATTATGCTCCTAAGTGTCAAGTTAGCTAARAGTTTGAATTTTATTTCCTGTAGGTATTATCAACCCAAAGAATCCTAAGGAAGCACCAAAGTCCTTCAGCTTTGACTACTCTTAYTGGTCCCACACGTCGGTAAGTGTTTTTCCAAGAAAACCTGGTTTTGTTGTTGTTTGGTTTGATTTAACATTCTYTTCTGATCATGCCACTCCTGTCAGATATTTCTGCACTTTCTCACCCATATTTAGGTTAGAAGCCTGTGCATRTTGTGTTACCCTGTTTGGGTGAGAGCAGAAAGCTAAAACAAGTTGTAAATACTTGGAAAATTGCAGAAAATACACTTGATCAATGTTCTGTTCTAAATATTTTAAGGATGCACCTGTGCCATGGTTAATTCATTTCTCCTCTTAGATAAGTGACAGTTGCTCGAGTTCTTACAGTTCAAGGAGATACATGGTCTGGCTTTCTTTGACATTTCTGGAAAATGCAGCACAGTGATCCATGTTTCAAATAGCTGCAAAAGCAATAAATTCTCATCCAGCTCCTGTGCCCCACCCTTCTGCAAATCAGGCTAAACTCTCAGTGACTTCCAGTAATTGTTCTCCAGCAAAACTGTGTTGTTCTGCCACCTACTCCTCCCCTGCCTTGTTTTCTAAAAGATATAGAAAGAAGGGATAATGCGTTTTTTCTGAGATTAATTTTAGTAACTTGGACGGTGTAATAACACTTAATATTTCTGAGCAACTCTGGCCAGTGAGACTGTTTTCACAATAAAATACTTGCCTCTCTTACTGAGTTTTCCAGAGCAGTGAAAGTTGATTATAGCCCAGTCACAGGAACATTATGAAAAGAATGCATGAAAACTAGCAGATAAGGAGCATCAAGGAACAGAAAAGGTCTGATAAAATCTTGGTCCTGACATTAGAATGTTAGCACAGCTAAATTTGTCCTGATTTCAGCAGCAGGTAATGTTAAAATTCAGCATTTCAGGAAGCAAGAGAATGTTGATTAAGAGTAAGATACACTCACAAACAATGCAGTGACATTGTCATTGTTGTTCCTCTCTGTCTTGTTCTGCCTTGGGAAAAACCTCTGTGTAAAAATGGGCTAATTTACCTCTTTTAAGGGATTGACTCACATGATAAAAGTAGGGAAAAATGCAGTTCCTTTTTGAAGTGTTAGATGAATGATAGCAGAAGTCTGTATTGATCCTGTTTGGTTCTTTCCAGCCCGAAGATCCCTGCTTTGCATCCCAGAGCCGTGTGTACAATGACATTGGGAAGGAGATGCTCCTGCACGCCTTYGAGGGCTACAACGTGTGCATCTTTGCCTATGGCCAGACTGGAGCTGGCAAATCCTACACCATGATGGGCAAGCAGGAGGAGAGCCAAGCAGGCATCATTCCCCAGGTAGGAGAGAGCAAATCCCACAAGGGAGTTTGGGTTTGATAGCATCTTCAGACACACACTTGTTTTTATATTGCAGACACAGTTAACAGAGAACTTACTTCTATTTTTATAGTACAGAATAATGATATTGGTGAAACCTAGAGCCATTGTTGAGATGCTAGATAAAATCAGGTTGATAGTGRTGTAGGATTGAGRTGAATTATCCTCCCAGTGAGGCTCYRTGTGGTTGATGCATTAGGTTAATTTTCTTCCTCTGCCCTCATTCTAAAGCCATTTCCRTGACATATCCTGATAGTTACTTGTTACTCCTCAGTAAAGACTCATTGCTGACTTGGATTTAATCTCTTTCCAGCTATGTGAAGAGCTGTTTGAGAAAATCAATGACAACAGCAATGAGGAAATGTCCTATTCTGTAGAGGTGAGTGTGGTAAGGGGTCAGGGAATGTCTGTGTGCTGGACATSAAACTGAGTTTAGGTGCTGGGTAAYTGAGCTTGGATTAAGATGCTGATKTCTGATKAGTTGGTTTTTTAAAWTTTTTTTAAAGCTTTATGTTTTTTCTCTGTTTCATGTTTGACACAAGTGTAAAAACCTTTCTGTGACTCTTTTTTACCCTCATCAGAAAACTAGTAGTAATCCTGAGAGAAAYGATGGGCTGAAAAATCTAAAGATGCATTTACAGATGGTTTTTTTGACTGATAGCTGAAAGACTGCATGTTTATTGTCAAATACTATAGCCATGAGTTTTAAAATCTGAAGTTGGTTCTGTATGCAAGAAAGATTTTTTTTTTTTCCTTCTTAAGTTTGTTCTTCTCTGCCAGTGTTTAAGCTGTTAAATGACCAGGGACAGCCACCTGCACTTTGCTTGTGTGGGCTGGGCAATTTCTACACTGGCACTCTGAAATGCTGTGGAGGAGGCCTTCAGAAATGCTAAATGATCTGTGAAAATTTGTATTTTCAGGTGAGTTACATGGAGATTTACTGTGAGAGAGTCAGAGACTTGTTGAACCCCAAGAACAAAGGGAATTTGCGGGTGCGAGAACATCCTCTSCTTGGACCATACGTGGAAGATCTGTCCAAGTTAGCAGTGACATCTTACACAGACATTGCAGATCTCATGGATGCTGGCAACAAAGCCAGGTGAGTCAGATGGGCATGGATTACAGGTTTTTATCACTGCCAARCACTGGCAATTTAAAAAACACTCATGTGAGTGAGGAGCTTTACTGAAATGTGCACTGATCAATGCCATTAACACTGAAACTGCTTTGTGTGGTGAACTAATGCTGCAAATCACTGTATAGAACTGAAAGATTGCACTTGGAGATGAAATCTAAATAATTATGCTGATATTTACTTCTGYCTTTGCTGTGTACTGTCACTATCCTGCTATAAAAATCTGTGTGAGCAGTCTCCTCTTTCCTTCATTCAAATGGTCGGGACTAAAGTTGGCATTCCAGCCTTAGTTACTGGTTCATTATTAGTTGTTTCCATGCCAGTATTGGGTCCATGTCACAGTGGGAGAAAGACTCACATATATGCTGCTCAGGTCTTCTTGGGTGTTTGCATGTAAGGTGGACTACTGAGAACACAGATTGAGAAAGCTCTGATTAAACTGTGATGAAATGGGAGTGATTCAGGAGTGAAAAATCCCAGGGTTTGTTCATGGTATTGGGTGTGGCTGGGTCTTGGTTATGGGGCACCACATCAGCTGTGCAGCTTCTTGCTGTCATTCCTCTGCCACTGCATTCAGCCCTGCAGGTCATTGTCCTTTTTTAAACATGCTCCTACCTGTTTGTATTTTAGGACTGTGGCAGCCACCAACATGAATGAAACCAGCAGCCGCTCTCACGCTGTGTTTACAATTGTCTTTACTCAGAAGAAACACGACACAGAAACGGACCTTTCCACAGAGAAGGTGTGTTACCCATCACAGCCTTTCTGACTCTTTTCACTGCTCTTGCCTGCAGTGACTCTGTAGTTTTGTTGTTGCTCTAATTCTCCTGTTGRTGTGCTTTCTGTGTTCAGGTCAGCAAGATCAGCCTTGTGGATCTGGCTGGGAGTGAGAGAGCTGACTCCACCGGTGCCAAAGGAACGCGGTTAAAGGTACGGGTGCTGCCTGAGCAAGGGGGCACAAGCAAATAGCAACTTATCAGTATGGAAAAAATTGTGGCAAACCTGAAGAGTACAGACACACATCCATGAACAGTTTTAATTACTGTATCATATTGGTTTGTGTTTTCTCAGGAAGGAGCAAATATAAACAAGTCGCTCACAACTCTGGGCAARGTTATTTCAGCATTGGCTGAAGTGGTAAGTAGAGCATTTCCTTGCCTGCAACAACATTTGCATAGCTGCTTTCAAAGGGAAACAGTAAAATCCATGGAGTGCAGCAGAATCGTTTGCTGTTCTTGGCCTCACATTCTCAGCCTCATTAGCTGTGTGTATTTTGATAAATTAATAGAGTTGATACTATTCTGTGGGTGTCACACGGGCTGTCAACAGATTGAAGCATTGATTTGTTCAACTCTGAAGAAGCCTTGCAAAAGAGGCTTGTGTTTATGCAGAGGACCTGTTCTCAAAGCAAGTTTTTAGTTCTACAGTGCAGTAATTTTATTTTTATTTGAAAGAATAATTTTAGAAAACTTAAGTGAAGCTTTGTTGTTAAAATATATAGAAACACCAGTGGAATTAATTGATCCACTGGCWTTCTTTGCAATGGCAAGACTTAATAATGTCTTAAGTGAGCATATTGATCCAAGCAAAATGTCGTGGGTTTGGAAAGTACTTTGTCTTTTATTTTTGTACTATTAAAAAAACCCACAACAAATAAAAGAAATAAATGATAGTTGTTCCTTTTGAAAGTGAGTTTTCAACATCTTGGACAGGTTAAATATGTTCAAGTGCTTTTTAGATTTTCAAATGAAGCAATTCTCATTCATTTGGCTTCTCAGGAAAATGAAGTACTATCTAAGCTAACATGGAAATGGTGTATAAATGTCTGYTAAATAGCTCACCCTGTATCTTCTCCCTTTTTCCTTAATGCTTTCMACTTAGGATAACTGCACCAGCAAGGTATGGTGGTGTGAGTTGGAGTAAATGTTGGTTTCTTTGTAAGGTTTGCAGCTTAGAATGGTGTTAGAACTCAGAATTTATATGTCAGGAAGGATTTCTTACACAGGAAAACCTTTCTGAAGATTGTTCAGAGGGTTCTCTTGATGCACTACTTATCAGGATCTCTTTACATATCTGAATATCTTGCAGGTTATCTAATGTCAAACTGAGTCATTAAACTAAGGATGGGCCTCGTGTTTAGGTAGCATGTGTGTATGCCCTCATGGTACTTTCAATAYCCACACTGTGATTTTTATGTCTGAAATGTTGTTTTTCTATTCAGTGTCTATTTTTCATATTGTGTTATTTCTTTGTAGAGCAAAAAAAAGAAAAAGACAGACTTTATACCCTACAGGGATTCTGTACTAACGTGGCTTCTTCGAGAAAATCTAGGTATGGCTGATCTGTCTGTGTTGTTATGGAAAGAAACTCTCACTGAATTTTCTGACTGCTTTTAACTCACTTAAATTTGTATTGAGTATGAGAACAAATGTCTTTTATAGTCAAATCTGAGTCATCATAGTTCCACCTTGTGTTAATGTTGTAACTCTCCCCTATGGTTTTCTATGTTTCTTAGTATTGTATAATTTAGTTGAATTCTCTAATTTATTGAAAACTCTGCTATTTGGTAGCTAGGTGGTCCCTGCAGTGTGCCCTGTAKTTTAATCTAAAATCTTGCCTGTCTGTTACAGGTGGTAACTCCAGAACTGCAATGGTTGCTGCTCTCAGTCCAGCWGACATCAACTACGATGAAACTTTGAGCACCTTGAGGTACTTCTTTTCCTCTGGGATGGAGATGGGGACTCTTTGCTTTAAAGGCCTTACTTTGCCCTTCACACCTTTGGGTTATTCTCAGTTGAGCTCATCTGTGGGCAATAATTCATTATCCTCCAGGAGAAACAGGGATTGATTGGCTCCTGTTTGACACAGAGCTCCAAGCTAAGGTGTGCAGTGCTGCTGCATTGCTGTGCAGTGTTTCAGATGCCCCTGAGCAGTTCCAGTCTGTGCTGAGGTGGGATTGTTTCACTCTGGGTGCAGGTACATGGCCCTGAGCAGTTCTATGTCTGTGCTGAGGTGGGATTGTTTCACTCTGGGCTAAGGTGGGATTGTTTCAGTCTGTGCTAAGGTGGGATTGTTTCACTCTGTTATAAGGTGGATTGTTTCACTCTGGGTGCAGGTACAGGCCCATGAGCAGTTCCAGTCTGTGCTAAGGTGGGATTGTTTCACTCTGTTCTAAGGTGGATTGTTTCACTCTGGCTGCAGGTATGCTGATCGTGCCAAGCAGATTAAGTGCAATGCTGTCATCAATGAGGATCCCAATGCCAAGCTGGTGAGGGAGCTGAAGGAGGAGGTGACCAGGCTTAAGGATCTGCTGCGTGCTCAGGGCCTGGGAGACATCATTGACAGTAAGTGGATTAAACACACCTCAGCACCTTGGCCTTGGCCTCCAGCAGAGCAGGGAGACCTGAGCCCGTCAGAGGAAAGGATTTAAAACATGGAATTTAAATGTAGCTGCTGATTTTTAAGTTTTGAACACGATTTTAGAAATGGCAGCCCTTTCTGTCTTGGAACAACCATCCTAGAGTTGTGTGRTTGTCTGCCTTCAAAATCCCAAGGAAAAAGATGGAGTTTGAATTTCCTGCTCCAGTAGAAATGCTTTTGTGTAGTAGAACTTACATTCAGGAGTTACCCTGGTGAGTTATGGAGGCCTTTTTGGCAGGCTCCCAATGAAAGAGCTGAGGTATAGAAACTAAAATTCATGCTGAAGAAAAAGGCACCTTTTCTTCTCCCTAAATGGTTAAGGTTAATTATTGATACCTGGCTTCAATGCCATCCTTGCTCACAAAAGAAACAATGGCTAAAGTTAGACAGTGTCCTAAGTGACAAATCATTTGTCATCTTGWCATAGCCATGAAGCAGCTGCTTGTGAATAACTAATGAACCCTTTTGGGAGATTTGCAGTTAGGTTGGCAGAGCAGTGTTGTACTGATTTGCTTTGCCAGCAATCTCTTAAAGCACTAGAACACACTTGTGCCCAATTTCCTTGCCCTAGTTCCAAACTAGACAAATGAACTGAAATTTTAGCTGCTGAATTCTTCTATAATAAACAGTGATTTAATCCTATTGAAGGAAACACCCATTAAAGCATAGAATGTATTCCAGTGGATTAAAATCTTCTTTGACTAACAAAAAAGTGTTGCACCAATTTCTGTTTTTTCAGAGCTTTTTGTCTGTGAAGCTGAAGTCCTGACATAGTCACAGACTCCTTAAAGACATGTAACATGTATTTACCTCTTTGTTTGCTTGTTTTCAAGAGAATGGGGGCAGAAGACAAGGAAATACAAGTGTTTTCATGCTTGTTACAGTCTGGGKTTTTTGGTTCAAAATCCAAACTGAAAAAATTGTGTTTGTTTTGTTTCTTTAAATACCAAGTTGTATTCTCTTCCCTTCCTATGTCACTAGTGAACCTTCAATTTTGATCCTTCTTGTATTTTCCCTCCTGCTTCCTTTCAGTTGATCCAATGGGAGATGAATACTCTGGAAGTGGAGTCAAATGTGTGTATTGTGTGGTTCTCTTTTTAACCTGCTTTCTCTGGGTCAGCTTTTAACAGAGCTTTGCATGCCAGCATTTCTCACAGGGAAATCCCAGACAGAGCACTCACTGGAATGCAGGGCAGCTTCATGAAGAGCAGCCTCACCAGCACCTTTTAGATTGAGTCCACAATCAAAAAAAAGTGCAAAGTTTAAAGTGCAACATGTGTTCATTGCTTCCTTTCTGGCAGATAGAGGAGAGAGAGTGGTTGTTCTCTGGTGTGTTTTCATGACAGCGAATGATTTAGATTTGAGCTAGAAAATCTTTCTCTAAATCTTTTCTCAGTTCCTCAGTTCCTGCTCATATAGCTTCCTGGCATTTTAGCAGCTCTTTCCCACTTAGAAGTATTTGTCTTAAATGTGTCAGGTGATGAATTCAAGATGAAGTCTTTCCAGTTCCTCCTGCACACTGCAGTGTGTTTATTTTGTATGGGCCTTAAAAAATAMAGAAGCTGGACATCTTGTACTGATGTAGTGATGAAGGTCTCATTTTTTAGGTCAGAGATACTTGGTTGCAGGTGGTTTACTTAATAGGGCTAAAACCAGTCAGCAATTTTATTTCACTTGGTGTTTGCTTCTATGAAAGGGGAATATATATAATCCACTGCACAGGAAATGTGCTTCATGTACACTTTGGGTTGGTAAACCTTTTAAACTCTTTCAGTCAGTGTTTCTCACCCACACTCAATATCAGCCGAAGGAGATCTGTCTGAAATTTCCTGCAGTTCAAGCTCCTGGTGTTGTAAAGACTCATGCTGGCCTGTGTGACATTCTGATGCTGCTTCCAAGGTGTGCACATGTGATGTGTGAAAGCTGCAGCTCCACGAGCAGTGCATGGTCTGAGGGTTTGCTCTCTGTGCTCACAGGAAGCTGCTGCAGTGCCACTTCTTTCTCTCCAGGAGTGCATGGCATTTTGAGAMTTCATCCCTGCTCTGTCACGCCTGCTTTTCTTACCCTGACAGCATTCCCTGCCCTTAAYCTGCTTTTCTTGGTGAGGCTCCCTGCCCTGCCTCCTGTGCTTGCAGATGGTGGTTTTCAAACTGACCTGGTGCAGTTWTCAGCTCCATGGGGCTGAACCAGCAGGTTGAGGTGGAGTCAAGAGGGGCATGAGGCTGACAAAGGCAGCATTGTTCAGGGGAGGATAGAGATGTAGGAGGACAGGGGAATTTGTGCAATGTCTGGTGAGCATCTCCCTTTTTAAGGGTGATGCCCCTGTTCATAACTTGCAAGGTCTGATTTGACCTGTTTTTTTCCTGAAGTGACTTATTTTAAAGGATTTGTGTTTGAAATCAGATTAATTTTTTAAATACTGAGTTATTAAAATTAAGCTATTCAGTTATCTGTTCAAGTTAGAAGATTTTCCTTTTGGAGTGTGGTTATTCTGAGGATATGGTTTACAGACATATCCAAGAAGYCAAGTTAAATTAAAATAAATTCCATTATATTTGTTCTTAAATCATTCATTTTCTTGTTCTCTGCCTTTCAAGGCAGCATTTTCAGGCCTGCAGGCTTTCAGCCTACAAAAGCTATCTCATTTAATTTTTGAGGTTTTTTAAAGGCCTTTCTTGTTTAAACCAACAACCAAAAGCTTTGAAGCACCTTCTRAGTATAAAACCCTTAGCAGATATTGTGCTGCTCAGGTATGTTGGATTTCCATTTTTATTCAGATGAGGAGGGCCAAGAAGTAGCAGAATGATGTTGTTGTGAACTTGTGTTCTCTGGTCCCTCTCRTGCACTGACAAGTGATTCCCTCTGGGGAGAATCTGTGCAGAGGGAGTTCTTTGTCCATGTGGTCTGGGTGTTTTGGCAGCCAAACCACTGCTGGGATAAAGATTTACTTAAGCTTACATTAAAGGAGTCTGAAAGGGAATGTWTGTTTGAGTTTAAGGGTTGGTATCTCAGACCTCAGACTGAAATGTCAGCAAAAAAATGTGATCCTGCTCTGAGCTTCAAGGTGCTCAGCTTAGTGTTCAGTTAGGAGTAGGATGGTTGYTTTTTGCCAATGTGCAWTTYTTTTTTYAATTTTTTTTCTTTCAATTTAGAAAGGTTTGCTATGCAGTCACTCCTAAACCTCAGGATCTGAGCTGAGTAATTATGTTATGGTTGCTAGTGTTAAGAGATTTGTTTCAGAACTGCCATCTAAAAATTACAAAACTTGCCTTGTTGCTGCTTAAATGCTTTCCTCTTACACTGGTATTTCCTTCCTTCTTTTCCTCCTTCCTTCCTTCCTTCCCTTTTTCCTCCTGCTTCCCCTTTCCTATTTCCCTTTTTCCCACCTTCTTGCCTTCCCTGTGTCTGTGTGTCTCTCTCCCAGATCTGAAAGATTTTCAGAACAATAAGCATAGATACTTGCTAGCCTCCGAGAATCAACGTCCTGGCAATTTTTCCACAGCCTCCATGGGGTCCCTCAGTGCATCTCCATCCTCCTGCTCTCTCAGTAGTCAGGTGGGCTTAACATCTGTGTCCAGTATACAGGAAAGGATCATGTCCACGCCTGGAGGAGAGGAGGCCATTGAGCGACTGAAGGTGGGTGTTCAGAGGCTGAAAAACAGAACCTGGGAGAACTCCTTTTCTTAAATATAAAAATATATCTTTCCTGCTTCTGTAGAAATGGTCTGAAACCCACTTGCACCTTAAAAAGGGCACCTAACTGCAGTGGGCATGAAACTGGGTCCATGCACAAGCTTTCCTGTTAGAATTGTTTAGATTTAATTGTAGCCTGGAGCTACAATTAAATTATAAATTAAATTCTTGATTCTTATTTATGGRTCCTCTGATGCAGTGGTAGTTGTGGAAAAGTTGATCATAAGTGTAGACTTAAAGGCCTGGTCAGCACTAGTGTGAGCCAAGTCTGACTTGCAAATGCACTCAGCTTTCAGAAAACTAAATTACCTCAAAGCTGAAAAAAAGGAGGAAGAATAATCCTGCCACTGTTGTCTTYGCCCAGCCCCCACAGATTAAAATGTGAAGCACAGAATGGCATTTTGATCAGACAAAGGCAGCCTTGTCCCAGTGCTGCACGGAATGGAACTGCAGCAGAAGTGCAGCACACTGAAGGATTTCTTGATTTTGATGAAAGCCCCCAATCTCCATGGGTGGAGGGGTGAGGAGAGCTGCTGTGGTGAATCTCTGCTCCATTTTCATGTTTGTCCAGCAGACTCTGCTGCAGGCCTGGAACACACACTTCCCATTGCAAACCTCTGTTGCCATGGTGATAACAGCGTGGTCTCCTTATTTCCGTGGCACTCAATTCCTGAATAAAGTCTGTAAATCAGAGCTGAAAAAAGGGACAAGTTTAGGTGGTTCACTATAAGGTCTGACCAGTTAGATATGAGCTCATCTTTTCTTCTCAGCTTGCCTTCAGGACTATTTGCCTTTTTAAAAAATAAGGCAAACAAATAAGAGTTTTAAAGTGCTATGAGTACTTTTTATATGCAAAATTATTGGAGGCCTAAACAGAGCACAAACTTCAATTGCTTTATGTACTGTATGAAGACCTTGGGAAGAATTGTAAAATGACTTTTGATATTTTCTCACAGGAATCTGAGAAGATCATTGCAGAGCTGAATGAAACATGGGAAGAGAAACTGAGGAAAACAGAGGCCATTAGGATGGAAAGGTCAGGAATCAGAAGTGCTGAAATATGGATGGTCTCTGGAAAGTGGAGAATGGAGCAAGTGACTGTTCCAAAGCAGGGATCAGCAGAACAGTGTTAAGGACAGTTCTGCTGACCCTCAGATGTGGAACAGCAGGGCCAGTGCTGGCACAAAGTCCTGCCCTTTCTGGTTTCTCACATTGGAGCTGMTGTTTCTTAGGCCACTCTTGGACTAAAGTTTACAAATTTGTGCTCTGAGGTGGTGACAGTCCTGGACAGCCAGGTTCAAAGGCTGATAAATTAATGRCCTGGCTTTCATTAGACCTTACTTGTCTAAGAAGCCTCAAATGGCTCAATATCGTGTTTTTCTCTCTCAGGGAGGCATTGCTGGCAGAAATGGGAGTTGCCATTCGGGAAGATGGAGGAACGCTGGGAGTCTTCTCACCCAAAAAGGTAGAGAAAATTATTGCTAATTCTTACATGATCTCCCCAAAAGGCTGACTGAGGAGGGTGAGGAGAGCTGAACTGTTTCCTGTCCTCCTTTAGATGATCTGTGCTGCAAGAAGTTTTGCAGCTCCGTTGGTATCTTGTTTCACTAAGCAGTCAGCCGGCTGAGTTTTAATTTTGTTGGATTTTCTGCAATAGTGTGTGTGACCTTGGTGTGCTCTACCTGTCCTTTGAGATATCCAGAGAAGTTTGAAGGCTTCTTTAGGTGCTCTTCCTTGAATTTGTTTGTTAATCCTTTATTCCCCTGGAGAAAGGGATGGTGATTTAATGAACCACTGAACATAGGGGATGCTGGGAATATCTCTTTCAATACTTACCTTTAGTTCTATTTTCTGAAATTTGAAAGAAGCAGAATGGTGCAGAAAAAGAAATAAATCAATGCTGTAACTATAAAATAATTAGGATAGAAAGARGTTACCTTTGCAGATCAAGCAGAATTATAGAAGGAGTAAAAGGAAAAGAACCTACTTTGTTTTATCTTAAAAATCTTTAAATAAGCATCATGGGGTAATATTTTAGTGCAAGTGTGTAATAAACTTGATCTTGGGTTAGGCAGGCACTGCACAGAAATGTAGAACCCCAGAATTGGCAGAATTCTGGTTGCTTTTGGTGGCCACTCCAGGAGTGCCCGAGGTGTGGAAAGGCACTGACTCCTTGAGTGTTCTTTACATTTCTTTTATGTTATGGATCCTCATCTCCTTTTAGATTTTCCCTGAGAGGCCATCAGCTCTTTTTGATGAATCTTTTGGTGCATTTTCAGCTGATCAGGTTTGTGTATAAATGCCACCTGGATTAAGTAGTTGCTTTGGTAATAGATAGTGTTTCTTTTTACCCATATATGATTTATTAGGAGAAGTAAAACTCCCAGCCTAGTCCTGTCTGCTTTTATTGCTTGCTATCCTTGCAGTTCCATTAGAGCYCCTTCTAGTAACTGTGGCTGCTGTGGTGAAGATTTAGGAGATGAAAATTTAGATAGAAAATGTGTTTTTTATAAAGACTTTACATTTGTGAGGTAGCAGTGTGTATCTCACCATGTGCAATGAGTGAGTAGTTTGGTTTGCCCAGCACCACCTCTTGAGTTGTTGAGCTTTATTTCTTACCAAGTTCTCAAGTGGTGCAAGCTGTAGTGATGTTCCAGCAGTGGCTCTGTCTGGGATTTGGTTCCTCTCCATTTTTCTCTTGGTTAAGAGATTTACACAGCTCCAAGTGCTGATTGTGCAGTGAAGTCATGACAGCCTGGAACATCTTCAGCTTCACTTTGAGGTCACACTGGATTTTAAAAACCTGTCTCTGTTTCTTTCTCTCTCTTTCTGTCCTTATAATTAAATCTTCTTCATTCAAAGACAAATTCATCATGAATGTCCAGTGATTTTTGAGCTTCTCTAAACTGAGGGCTGTTAATATCTCCCATAAGTAAACTTTTCTGTGTCCAGGTTAAGTTGATAGAAGTAGAGTTCCCAAGGAATCTGAGCCAAATTGATTTATTTTTCCTAAATTTATTCTGTTTGAGGGGGACAAGTGTCTTATTAACAGTTCTATTTCTCTTTTATCATCTTTCTGCTTTAATYATGTTTAACCATTTTTGCCTTTTCTTTTGTGCTTGTGCTTACTGCCATCTCACTGGCTAGATTTTCACACCAAGGCCTTGTGACTTGTTTGCTGATTCCAATGGGGTTTTTTCACCAAAGAAGGTTGGTTTGGTAAYTGTAGTGGATTTAAATTTAGAAGGAGTTTAGATGCAGAGCTCCTTAGCTGTTGGTATCAGAGAATATTGGTAGTTTTAGATTTTGTTTTGATGTTAACAGACTTTGCCAAATAAGCACCTGACCTCTGTAGCCCAAGAAAAGCTGAAGTTGATTCCTTATCAGTTTTAAAATTTTACTGAAGCAGCCTTTTCTCCTGTTGGACTTCCCTTATCAAAGTTTACAGAGACTTTCTAAGGACTTCTTTTTCCAGCTGAAGCCTTTCTTCCCTCTGTGGATTCATATTTTGGATAACTAAGCAATCTGAGCTGTATTTCTGCTGGTACTTTGTGATACTTTYCAATTCTTTCAAGAGGTTATGTTTGACAAAATCCATTATGGAATAACCTTGATACACGTGGCCAAAGTGCTGGATTAATGCACTCCCTCCACAGCTGTGGGAAGAGCCTGAAAGCAGCACTGCAGTTCTTAATTAMCTTTTCCTTTTTGTTCTTTCAGACTCCTCACCTTGTAAATCTTAATGAAGATCCACTCATGTCTGAATGTCTGCTGTACTACATCAAAGATGGCATTACAAGGTTAGAGTTGTAAAGCACTCTGGTGCACACTGGAATTTCCTTCTTTGCTTAAATCCCTGTGCTGGAGACACCATGGGTTTATTTTACAGAATGAGTGTCCTTTGGGCTCCTCGAGTTGCAAGTACAAATGAAGCAAGAGATTGCTGTAGATGGAAGAAAGTACAGAAATGCATTTTCTTTAGGTTGGCTTGGGGTTTTAAAAGTAATGTGTTCAGTCACTGAGCTTTAAGAAATTGTTATTACACTTTGGCAGTGCATTCTGCATTCATAGCCAGACTTGGAATTAAAAATGGATTTTATTCCAAAACGTGTTTGTTGAGGCTGCTGGAAGAAGGGAGGTGATTTTTACTGCTTTTGGAGCACCAAGTTGTGTTTGGTTGCTTGGTTTGTATATTCCTGGGGAGCAAATGTAGGAGAGTACACAGACAGGGGCTACTCTAACATGCACTGAGCTCACTGAAAGGAGCATCAAACGGGAGAGAATTCAGCACAGAAAGATGATTAGAACAGCTTAGGCTTAACAAGTCATTGTAAGTTTTGAACCTAGCTCATTGACATCAGAAATGTGTTAAGTAGTAAGCAGAACAAATTCATAAACATTAGGATTGGMAATGAAGTTGTCTGTGCCTAGAACTGCTCAAACACTTGGGTTTGAAGTTCATACATCTCCATTCTCCGGGGCACAGCCAAGCTCTCGTGTCTGGAGCTGATGGAACTGCTCACATTATTCAGCAGGAGCCTCCTGAGCCATTTGTGCTCCTTTGTTCAAGTGCAGCTGTGATTATTGAGAGGATGATCCCTGTCTGCCAGCTGAAAACTCAGCACTGCAACTTCTTGGCAGGTTTTTTTCCTCCCTCTTCATCTCTTTCTGAAAGGAGAAGGGGATTCACAAAAGGGAATGAATTGCATTAAACTCATGGGTKTTTAACATTTCAGTTCTTCAAGTAATGTGTTTTAAGGGAGAGAAAACTTCCCTTTCACAAAGCTGTCATCCTGCAATCCATGGCAGAACTGGCAGGTTTTCTGCAGTGCAGAATTAAGCTCTAGATCAGTCCTTTAAATTTGAAGGCCGATCCTAATAGTTTAGACTTTTTCCTGGCTATTCCTGGGYTGTATTGRCCTATGCAGAGTTGTAGRAAGT